TAGTGTTACAGTGAAATCATCTTCCTCTGTTTGGTATCTTTAAAAGCAATCTGAAGATCATACAATAAATTTACTTAAACCTCTGTGAGTCGTCCTAAACTACCGGTACTTTGTGCAGTTTGTTTTGGCAATTTCTGAAATGAACCCTTCTCCTATTATCCTTAAAGAAGTTTTTTTACAGAATTATCCTTCTCCAAAGCCTTTTTTGTTTTCTTTTTTTTTAAATCACACCAGATCAGTCTGCAGATAAGAGGGTCCGTTTCCTGTCAAGTTTGTTTCTTTTTTGCTCAAAGTTACACAATGGGAGCCACAGAGCAGTGGAAACAGAGGGGGCTGCAGAGAGGGACCAGCCTCCTGTATGCGGTTCAAAGTGTGAAAACGTGTTTGCTGCTCAGATCAAGAACATGAAGAACATCCGCTTTAAGCGCCAACATTCTGCTTTTCTGGAATTAGTAAGAGAAACATCTGGTCCTTATCAGGGCGGGGGTAGGGTTAGGAGAGAGCAAGACATATCAGCTGGAAGTTTGGACTTTGACTGGGCCGTTCAACACAATCAATCTCTCAACCATTGGGTTATATATTATCTGCTGTGTTTGAAAGCATTGCCTCAAATCAATTGATTGGACAACAAACTTCTCTTTTAAACAAAAAATTACTAAATTCTCATGTCTAATAGCTGCAAAAGAAGCCCAAACTACCACTGCTCACCTACCATGCTTCACGGGACCTTTTACCTTAAATGCTGATTTTATTTATTTTTTTCTATACATAATGCTTTCATGGATAAATATATCTGGCTATTCTATATAGATTAAAAACAATTGCTGGTATAAAGCAGGCTGGCAGTTGACTTTCACCAGATTTTATCCAGAGGACGTTCAGGATGCCCAGTTGTTATCTTAGCTTTGCAAACTTCCATCATGCTACTGTATTATTTTAAGAAACATGAAGCTTTCTAAGTTGTTCTAATGGTTTCCATGATGGGCAGGTCCCTGCAAATCGCTGCCTCTGACTCAGGAAGTTAAATCATGGGAGTTAAATCATAACTAATATGGTTTTATCACTGCATAGCGGTAAAGTAAGTCAAGGCTGTCCTGATATCATGCAGGGATGGGTAGATAGACGTATCATCAAATGGCTGGACGGGAAAGGTTGACTCATCTGGACCTGGAAATAATCTAGACACTTCAAGGCAGTGCAGGAACCTTCCAGCATCTGTGGTTTTACTGAGGCAAACAATGTGACGAGGAATAGATGCATCCGTAACAACCCCTCACTCTGAAAGACGGCCATCTTGGTTTTCCTCATGACTCATCTGCAACACTTTCCCTTCAATTCCTCCTTCTTTTTATTCCCCTTCACCCAAACAGAGAGACTCACCGTTTTTAAGCATCAGGACCCACAGAGTTCTGCTTCTCTGACTCGGAGCAAAAACATACAGGGTGTTGGTATCGTACACCACCTGAACACAGACACAGAAAAGCATTTAGTACAACGAGGCCCTGCGAACGCAGAGGGGTTTATGTTCGGTAAATCATTGAAGGTTTAACAAAGACTAAGGTTACAGTTTTTAAACCCCATGCTCGGCTGCTTTCAAAAAGAGTTAAAAATTAACAAGAAATGCAAGTTGCTGTGATTAGGCAGAGAGTTTAAAGTTTAAATAAAAGCAAATCTGAAACAAAGAAGAGGGAGAGAAAAATAGGATAAAAAAAAAGAAATGCAGAGAAACAGTTTGGGATTGATAAGGTCGGTTGGTGATAAGTGACTGAGATCACAAAGCTGTGAGGGATGGAAAAACGATGCGCTGCTGTCAGTTGTTACTACATAAGAGATGTGTGGGAGTGAATGTAGTTCAGTTCCCCTCATCTTTGCAATGAGCTGAAGCTCTGATCTGTAGTATAAAGCAGGTGCATGTCAACCCCCCCCAGCAGCTGCTGCACAATCAGAGATCCATATCGACACAGAGGCAGGAGAACTTTTCTTAACTTCTCTCGAAAGTGCTAAAAACAGCAGCTTCGATCATGCGTGACGGAGTTAAAAAACGATGTCAAAGTATTTTTTTTCTACCTGAAAGGGGTACTTGTTCCGGCAGGGGATGATCCCGCCTCCATTCTTCACGATCTCCACACATTTGATGCGGCTCAGCTCAACATAGCCCCTCTTGAACTTCTTCTGTTGATGGAAAAAAATGCGTCAGAAATAGCCCAGTGTGTTTATGTTTTGTTTTTTTCACAGTAGTGCATGTGACAACGCTGGGTCTTTTTTTTTTTTTTTGATCTGAAGTTTATCAGATCGGCAATTAGAAAACACTTATTTTAGTGGTGGAAAAAAAAGTAACTTCCTTTAGCACAGCTTTTAATTTGGTTATCAGAGGTTTTTGCATCACTGTAGAGAAGTGTGGGTGTAAACACTGTAAACAGACTGTAAATTTACTACACAGCCTGAATCAGCACACAGAACCTGACCTTGATCTTTTTAGGGTAGCGGCGTAGAGTAAAATACCTCATATATATAAAACCTTAATACTCTTATGTTATTAGACCAATATTTTACTATATATTGATGTTTTTGATACTGCTTTTCTGGAGGGAGCTTAAGATTAGGGTGATGGGAAGGAGGCCTTCCATCCTCAAAGACTCCAAATACCAGTGGAAGCTTGGTCAGCAATTACAGGAAAGCTGTTATTGCTCTAATAACAAAACATGATCTTTCACTAATAATTGATAAGGCTATAAAATGTCACATATGTTGATTTGTTTTGTTTTTTGCAAAAAGTTAACAAACCTGTTATAATATATATATATAAAAAAATAATGATGCCAATGCAGATTTTAGGTTTCAGTCTTATTGTTCTTTCTACATCAAAGATTCATCCTTCGTTCAAAGGTATAACAAATTAGAATGTTTATTTTTTGTTGCACTGCAGAGACAAGATACAAAAATAGGTAAAGAAAAAAACTAAATTAGGAGGATTTGGCCATAAATTGAGCAGCTAAATAAATACATTTTCTATCTTTTCTTTACTTCATCTTTTCTCTTTTTTTCTTCTTTTTT